GGAGTGGTGAGGAGTAAACAATAGTTCCTGAGACTCTTTTGAGGGAAGAAGCCATGTTGAATAGCTGTTTTAGAAGCCATGTGCTCTAAGCATGCTTCATAGGTATGGTGTGTACACAGCCTTCAGGAAAGTACTGCTTATTATACCATTCAGCACGTGAGCAATAAAATAACCTGGCTAGAGATGTTTAACAAAACAGGTAACTTCAGAGGAGCCCTGCTGGATCTGGCCAAGGGCCTATCTAGTCAGGCATCCTGCTGCCCACTGTGACCAACCATGTACCCATGGGAAGCTCATAAGATGGACTTGAGGGCAAATAGCCCTCCTCTGCTGTTATTCTCTAATCATGCTGTTTTGATCCTCAAGGTAGCACACAGCTATCCTCACCCATAGCTATTTAAGCCTTACCCCATGAATTTTACCTTTTAAAGCCCTCTAAACTGCTGGCGTTCACCACATTGTGCCAGTGAAATTCCACATTTTAACTACTGCATCACGGGAAGAAGTAAATGCTTTTGTTCTGTCCCAAATCTCTCACCATTCAGCTTCATTGGATAACCCCAGATCTAAGCGTTATGAGAATGAAAGGTCCAGCATCATAAGCCTGTAATTGCTAGGTTTACTTATAAGGGACTTCATCTAAAGCTTTTTGAAAGTTTAAGTGGGGCTGGTGCTACCATGAGGCAGAGTGAGGCAGCTGCCTCAGGCAGAAAATTCTGAGGTGGGAAGTGGCTAGAAAAGTATACCATGTGTTCTGCTTTGCAGCGCCTAAGCTCTCTTGCTGCTGTGATAAGAATTTTAAGGTCAGATTTTTGTTTATGACACTGCCCTAGCACAGCCAGTGCACCAATGAGGCAACCTGTGTCAGGTGGCATGCTCCTTCCACCCCACCAGGGTATGGGCCCAGATCAGGGGTGGGTGGGGTGGGGAAAGTGTCAGTAACACATCTTGCCTCAGGCACCAAAAGCCCCGAGCCCAAATAAACAATATCTGTTGGATCACCCCTATCCATGTGCTTTTTATACTTTCAAAGAACTCTAAAAGGTTACTGAAATAGTACTTACCCTTGTGGAAGCCATTTTGATTCTTCAGCAAGATTTCTATAAGCTTAGTAATTTTATCTTTAAGAAATCTTTCCTGGAACAGGCGTTAAGCTAACTTACCTGCAATTCCCTGGATCCCTTTTAAAAAAACTGGTGCCACACTGATGGCTCTCCGGGCTTTTTGTTCAGAGGCCAATCTTAGCGACTAGGTATGTGTTCTTGTCAGAAAACTAGCGATTTCACATTTGAGCTCTTTGAGGATGCTCAGGTGGATACCATCTGAAGCCAGAGATTTGTTGGTTTTTAATTTGTCAATGAGGCCTAGAACTTTGCCTCTTGTTGCACTATTTCTCATTTCTTCAGAGTTCCTGATGAAGGTAGCTCAGGTTTAATTGTTATGTAACTGAAGTTTGTGCACTGAGGTCAGTGGGGCTACTCCTGAGTAAATATATATAGGATATAAGCCAGGTTGTTACCTGTAATAGTTTTGCCTTGCTGTTTGATTGTGCCATACAACCCTTACTGTACTCCATTCACACTGATTGCTATTATTTTGTTTTACAATTTCTTCTAAGCCATGTAAGGTGCCACATATTTGAAGAAACTGGGAGAGACAGAACTCAGTTCTGCTATGCTCAGCTAATATTTCGACAACTGAAATGAAATAAACCATAGGGACTTATTTGCCAGGTTTTTGAAATGCCATAAATATTGTGTATCTCGTAGGAGCATGCCCTTAGGAAGAATTGAATCCCTTTCTCCTGCAAATAATATAGAAAACACTGAACAAATACCTTTCTGTTGTTGCTATAGTGATTCTGTTTGCTAAGAGCAAACTATATTTTTACTCTCGAGTACAAGGAGAAAACATGTAAACTTTCAATTCAACATAAATCAGCACTGTATATTGGGAATATGCAAAAGGATGCCACGAAGGGCTCTTGCTTACACAAATTACACACCATACTGGAGTAAAGCAGGGGAACAACAAAACCCATCAGCCCTAACCATTGGTCATGCTGGCTGGGGCTGATGGGGCTTGAAATCCAATAACCTTTGGGGGCACACGTTCTTTCATCCCTGGTGTAATGCATGACTCTAAGAAGCATTGCATTTAGCAGGGATCTGACTAAAGGCACATTATGCTTTTGCTGAGAACCTTTTCCTATAGATTTGCACTAAATTAATGGCAATGGCAAGAGACATTTTGAAGTAAGATAACATGGTTTCACAGAAGGTGAAGGAACTCTAAATGGTGTCTGGAATACTTTCAGAACTGCCCGTTACAAACGGAAAGGCAAGTAAACACAAGGGCTAGTGCGAGACACCGCCGACCTTTCCATTGGCAAGCCCTAGGCGCTGAGGCTTTTACCCACAGCGTGTTAATGAGCACAACTTTTCAGACTCTGCTGATCCTGGGATCAGGCTGCCAATCATACTGTCTACAGTATAGTGATGAAAACATATAGAATCAAGTACAGGTATGCAGATCCCAGAGTCAACTGATGCTTTCGACTGCGTTGTTATTTGTTGATAGAAAAGAATCTTTTGACTTCTAACACAATCTTGTCATCAGGCTGCATGGGGAGAGGTGACTTGTTCTCATCCAGATCTGCAGCTAATGCTTCCTGGCAGTTATATAGATGCTGCTCACCATTCTTAGTAACTTGAACAAAGTTGCATGCTCTTCCCCATTAGACAAATGACAGACAGAGCTGGAAAGCCAGTGTTATTAAAAGCTGGAATTGAAAGAAGCTGTGGGGCTGCTAATTTGAAATGGGGGGGATGTTTAACCCCATATATTTCCTCAATCTTAAAACCATTGCCTGGAGACTGCTAATATGGCTATCTTGTACGTTGTGTAGTTTTGTCCCTGCTGTATAACTTCAGTAATCTTGGGGAGGAGGGGGAGCCTGGTGGTCACAAGTTGTCAAGAGCATCTCTAGTAATGAAGCTAAACACAAAGAACACTGGGAACACAAAGAAGCCATGTGGGACTTGTGGAGAGCATGAAAAGAATTGCCTAGAGAGGTGTGGTGGGGCATCCATGACAACTGTGGCAGATAGGATGGGGAGGCAATGTTAAGACTAGTGAACTGGGCTGTGTTCTATGGCACCTAGCAGAAAACATAATGAGTGCAAGAGGGAAAGAGGAATGTATTTCAGCAACAGAACTTGCAAAGACAACATGGTCCCATGACTTTAATTGGTCCAGGGGGATTGACACTTTTAAAGTCTTCTTAGGTTTAGCAAGATGGTGGGATCTTTGTATTTGGTTGTTTTTAGCGCACGCTCCATTATTTTGAAAAGGGGGCAAAAGGAGGGTGTTCCTTAAAAATCTACTGCAGTGCATCAAATCTCTTGCAACGTTTGCAAGATACACACTTTGTGGTACAACAAAAAGAAAGGCATTGCTATGACTAATGTTTACAGTCAATGGCATTTTATTATTATTATTAGATTGCCATTATTAGTGTTTCCTGTGCCTGACCTCAGAGCATTCTGCCAGCTAACGCTCCTTTCGATTTGTTAAAAAGGGTAGAGAAAAATGAAGTTCATAAATGCAAAAGTTGTTTTCAAGAGAGGGCTGGCATCCCTTTATAAAGTATTCAGATGAACACCCTGATGACTGGTACCCACCAACAACAAATATAGATTTATGAGGAAACTAACTGTATTAGTAATCTTCTGGGGGAGTGGGAAAATCAAATTGTTTTGATAAAGTTATGCTTATATCCTGTTTCTTGAAAATTAAAGATAAAATAAAAATATTTTTTTTAAAAAAAACACACACACACACAGTGGGCTGGATCCAGATTGAGTCATGCTTTGAAGAGGCCCATGAGATCACTAGTCATGACAAACTTAAAGCCCATTGATTTCACTCTCCCACCAATTTCAATCAATTTAAACATGACTCAATCTGGATCCAACCCAGTGTGTTCACTAGCCACTGATCTGGATATTGCTTTCAGGCAGGGATTGCTCACAGGGAGATGATTCATTCTCCTGAATCCAACTAATTAAGTAACATAGTGTGGGAACACATCTTTTGAATTGTTCCTATTCTGGGCATTATCAGCATGGATTCAGAAAAGTGAATGGTTTTGTGTATGGTTCCAGCTTGTGTACCCTCCAAATTGACCAAAAGATAGCAGAACCATCTTTAATTTTTATTCTTTCTTCCCTTTTCTAACTTCACCCTGATCCAGTAAGGGACTTTCCTGCATGGAAACTGCTTTCTGCACCCAGCAAGTGTCCATCTGTCTTGTAATGCTCATCTGCCCTTCATTTAACAGGCTAGATGTAATCACATCTGGGGCACCAGATGCTGCATGGAACCAGCTGCCCTTAGGCTGCTCTATTCAATGTAATTTACCCAATAGCCTATTTGGAACATGGTATTCCCTTCTCTTAAACTGAAATTAAAGTTCACCATTTAGGAACCCTGCTCTGTAATTATTTAGGGGTGAGTGGGTAGAGGGATCTTGACTAGTTTGCAGAAGGGGCATGTGAATGCATTCCACTTTAAAAACTGTCTTTTTAACGATGATAATTTTATGTATGCCTTTCTCACCCAACCACCTGGGTACATGGTGGCTGCACAGAAGTCTGTGTGCGCCAGCAGTTGTCTTAGGGCAAAGCAGTTGCATGCATAGAACCACCACCACATACAGCAGCTTTCAAGCATTTCCAGTTTCATACCAAAAGCCAGATCCTGTCAGTGGTGTTGACAGGTACACAAAATAGCTTAGCATGGGCTTGTAAGAGAGACAGAGAGCAAGCAAATGTGTTGATTGCAAAAAACAACAACAACCCTCACTTTAGATTTGTATTCAACATGAAGTTTTAGATTTATGATGAAATATTGCCCTACATATCACTAGTGCTAAAGTAAAGATCTGTCACCATTTACTAGAGAGATGAGATTACTTCCTTGTTTGTTTTGTTTTGTAGCCCTAACCATAAGCGATGCATCTTTCAGTAGCAACAAATCTTCTTGGATGTCATTTGACTCCTTCAGCATCCGACGCAAGGTTCATATTGTGTTGCAATTCCAAGCCCTTTCAGCAAACGGCATCCTCTTCTACACTGCTCAACACCTGAGCCCACGATCAGGTAAGGAGAGGGTCTGCATTATACTGTTTTATTATATGGACAAAGGAAAATAACCAATGCAGACATACATAGGTTCGTTAGAGTGTCTCGTGTTTCAGCATCAGTTGATCAGATCAAGCTAATCCTTAAAAAAAAAGTTATGTAGTGTCTTGGACTGAGTAAAATGGCTGCATTGCGCTCTTGACAAAAAATACTTAGATCAGCTGGATCGTGTCTGTCACAGGCAGTGCAGCACTGAGGTTTAGGAAAACCCATTGCTCTTCAACTGTAAGTTTTAAGTGGAATTTTGGTTGACCTCCCACACTTTGTAGGTATAACAGTCCTCCTCCCCCCCATTGTTCTGAGGTGCATCTATGTTCCAATCACTCAGTTGGCATGATACAGTTATGCAGAGAGCATTTGTCCCTTCTCCTTTCACACCCCTGGTAGCTTTAACTCTGAAGCTACTGCTTTGTTTTCTGAAGTTGTTTCTTCAAAGCCGTAAGGGAAGGCAGCAGTCGAAACTGGCAAGCTGTGTGTCAGTTTTGCCTCGCTCCCTCCTGTAGCAACCACAGCTTTTGTTAATTCACTCTCCTCTCACTCACACCCTCTCTCCAGATTTTGAAGCTGCTGCTTCAATTACTGTTTCCTCCTCCTCTAAGCTCACAGCCATGTTAGCTGTGTTTTGTTTTGAAGTAGCACAAATAGCCTTACATGTCTCTTAAAAAGAAATATATACTTGCACTGAAATCCAGCAATTTAAACAATAACACTGGGAGTGCCTGCAGCAGGCACTCAGTATGTGCATGTTTGGACAGATTACCTGGTTGGGGGAACTGCCTTGCAAAACTCAGAGAAGTGCAAATTTCAAATGACACTTGTGCTTTGGTTATCTTATTGTGTAGAGGGTGGGAAACAGAATATTTGCTTAATCATGAGCCCTTCCCCCACCCACCTGCCCTACACCTGGCATCATATATGACATCTCATGTGCGGCAGGTAAAGACGTGGCCCGGGTCCCACTGGATAGCCCTGTCTGTTCGCAACCCCAGTCAATCAGCTCCATACAAAGGCCTGCACATCTTTCTGTCTTGCATGCACACTCTTTGAAAAATGAGAAAGGATACTAGCATAGATTATGCCCAAGATTGTGATCTTAGGTATAGTTACTTGTAACTAAGTGCTACTTAACACATTGGAGCTTACTTCCAATTGTATTAAAACAAGGGTATGTTGATAACAGGATGCAAAAGAGCAGTTTCTTACAACCATTTACCTACTGCCACAAGCATTCATTTCAATCTCCCCTTCTCCCCTCTAAGTAACAAGTCAGTGGAGTACTCTGCTTAACTTACAGCATTCATATTACCTATTTGAACCACACTGTCATGGAATGGGGGGGTCACTGAGGACTGAGTCTTGCATCTGCTTGTTAGCCTTGCAATGAGCCTGTCAAAGCAGACTCAGAGTGCAGGGAGGTCCTGGAGTATTCTCCTAGCAGCCGCCAAAAGAAATGAAAGGGGTTTCTGTTGCTTAAGTTTGCAAAGCAACTTATGTAAAGCTTTTCCTTTAGCCAGTGTTACATAAGCCTTAACAATCCCTTTTGCCAGTTATGAAAACCTTAACAAACATTGCTCACGACTAACAGCCAATTGGCACTGGATTTTCACATTGCTAGGTCATAGTAATACCTTTACCTAATAGTGCCGGTCACTTCGCTACAAAGATTAAAAAACCACACCAATTTTGAACTGAAGTAATGCATTATGTTTAAATTTATGTGTTTCATTGACAAAAAGAGAGCTGCCATAGCCTCCCTTGCCATTTTACAAAAACTATTCCCCCCCAAAAAACAACAACCCTACTCTATTCTTAAAGAACTGGCACCCTGTTGGGCAATGTGGTCGAAGATGTAGGGGTACAGAATGTGTTCATGCTGCGTGTGCCATCCCAACCTTCCCACTTTTGAGGTCCAAGGGGAGCTTCCAAGCCTGTTTGGATGAACCCATTTTCTTGCCTCCATGCAATCAGAAATCCTGATAACGCAGATAAGCCTTGATCAGATGGAGACTTCCAATCGCAATTCCCCTGTGCAACCCCTGTGGCCACCTTCACAAACTCACATTGAATGCTTGTAGCTCATCTTCATATTTTCTATTACATCTTCTCAACCTTTCACACACCAAGCCGAATGCAGCATCTTAGCCAGGCATGGTGCAACAACAGGGTTTTGCTAAATCTGTTCTTGCTCTCTTCCCTTGAACTGCAAAACAAGGTGGTTGTTGAGCACCTGCCAAAATGGTGTGCATGGCTGGCGGGCTGCATTTGGCTTGGTGAGTCACAAATTGTGCAATGAAGGCCTGTTCTGCAGTGTCAAGGCTGCTGTCTAGTAATGCTTAGCCACAAATATGTGTTATCAGCTCATGGAATGTTGAAGCATCTTTCTTTTTCTTTCTCCATAGGCGATTTCCTAAGCATCTCCTTAGTAAACTGGTATGTACAGCTGCGCTACAACCTTGGTGACAGAACGGTAATTCTGCAGACTTTCCAAAATGTACACAGCACAAGCGGTACGTGGTATTTAATTAAAGCAGGAAGAGTTGGCAATGAAGGCTACCTCGACCTCAATGGCATCAATATAACCCGGGAAGCTAGTAGTGGCATGACTGCCTTAGATACACGCTCAGACTTCTACGTAGGTGGAGTCTCTTCTTTAAATCTGGTTAATCCCATGGCCATCAAGAATGAACCCATCGGCTTTACAGGCTGCATTCGAGAGGTTCTTGTCAATGGCAGAGAGCTAAAACTGACTGAGAAAGGAGCTAAAGGTGGCGCCAACGTAGGTGACTGCGATGGAACTCCCTGTGGGTATACAGTGTGCAAAAATAATGGAGAATGCAAAGTTGAACCATCAGGTTTCTATTGCTTGTGCCCCAAACATTGGACGGGGAAGACATGTGAGCAGTCTTCTTATTGTTCACATAGTAAATGTCTGCATGGAGGCATTTGTATACCTACCCCAGCTTTACTTTCATATACATGTGCATGTAGACTTGGCTGGTCAGGCCTCCGTTGTGAAAAAAAGATCTCATTTTTTACTGCAAAATTTACAGGCAATTCATACCTCAAATACATAGATTCCAACTATAAAAGAAGGGACCTCAGATTCACTAGGATATCTTTCAATTTCACCACTGAACACGAGGATGGTTTACTTGTATGGTTAGGGAAGGCTGAAAATGAAGACAATGATTTCCTTGCAGCTGGACTTGCTAGTGGAATGCTGAAAGTCATGGTAAACCTTGGAGAAAGCATTGCTGTCCCTCTTGTTCCGCAAAGCAAGTCTCTATGTTGCAAAAAAATGGTATTTTGTCACCATCGCACAGAACAAGACACTCATCAAAGTGTACCTCGATGAGGAATTAGTTCTCTTTGAAGATCTAGATCCACAAAGAAAATATACTGCTCTCAATTATGGAGGGACTTGCTATTTTGGAGGATTTGGGCTCAATAGAAGAGTGAACACTGTCACCTCAGGGCTGTTCAATCAGGAGTTTGTTGGCAAAATTAAAGACGTCCTGTTTCAAGATTCTAAAAAGATCCTGCTGATTAAGGCAGAAGGCTATAATGTTTATAGTGGAGATAAGGATTAACTGCTGAATAAGAACCTTTTTATGTAAGTACAAAATATGAATTTTTACTTACAGTGCATGATGCATTATAGGAAACCTTTCCTTCAGGCTCCTTGGCTCTTGGACTCCCTTCACAGTCCCCAGCTCCCTTGGTTGTCTCTGAGTGAGGTTTTAATCCTAGCCAAACTATTTTTCCTTCTCTCTGAGAAGCTGAACTTCAGAAATGTTTAAATTCCCGAAGCAACTACCGTATTTTTCGCACCATAGGACACACTTTTTCCCTCCTAAAAAGCAAGGGAAAATGTGTGTGCGTCCTATGGAGCGAATGCAGGCTTTCGCTGAAGCCTGGAGAGTGAGAGGGGTCGGTGCGCACCGACCCCTCTCGCTCTCCAGGCTTCAGGAAGCTATCCGCTAGCCGTGGGAGACCCAGCTCTCCCACGGCTAGCGGAGCACTGCATTAATCCCGAAGCTTGGGGCGTGCGGAGCTCAGCGCGCCCCAAGCTTCTGGGTGCCGGCAAGGTCTTCGCTAGCCGTCTAGCGGAGACCTTGCCGGCACCCAGAAGCTTGGGGCGCGCTGAGCTCCGCATGCCCCAAGCTTCGGGATTAGCGCTCCGCTAGCCGTGTCTAGGCTGCGGATAGCAGCCTGCTTCCCGGAGCGTCGGGCACCCTGAAAGCAGAGCGCCCGGCGCTTCGGGAACACATCCGCAGCGTGGGGATCTTTGCAGGAGTTCCCCGCAAGGCTCCCCACGCTGCGGATAGCAGCCTGCCGCCCGGCGCGAGGGGCGCCCTGAAGCAGAGCGCCCCTCGCGCCAGGCATACATCCGCAGCGTGGGGAGCCCTGCAGCAGTTCCCCGCAAGGCTCCCCAAGCTGCGGATAGCAGCCTGCCGCCCGGCGGGTGGGCGCCCTGAAGCAGAGCGCCCTGCGCGCTAGGCAGACATCCGCAGCGTGGGGAGCCCTGCAGCAGTTCCCCACAGGGCTCCCCACGCTGCGGATAAGCCTGCTGCCTGGCGGGTGGGGCGCCCTGAAGCAGAGCGCCCCGCGCGCCAGGCAGCCATCAGCCAGCCCCACAAGCTCGGGGGACAGCAGGGAGGCGCAGCGCCACTATCCCGCTGTTCCTCGACCTGGTTCGGTTTCCCTGACCTGCTTTTGGGGGGGAAATAAAGGGGGAAAATTTTCCTTTATTTCCCCCCAAAAAAACTAGGTGCGTCCTATGGTCCGGTGCGTCCAATCGTGCGAAAAATACGGTAATAGTTGAAAAAAGGCAATTCTTTTGTGTTAATTTAGGTGTTTCAAAACAATCATTTTATTTTCTATATCATAGGTAGCTTTTGTATATGAAATGAGACTAATGTATATTCAATATAGAATTATATTAATTTTCTGTTAGCTTATTCTCATAGAACTTTGCCTCCAAGTTTTAAAGCATACAGTATTCAGAAAATAAATGCCAAATGAGGTAGAAACACAGTGGTAAAAGTATTTTTTTAAATACCAAACGTGTTCACAGTTCCACTACAAAAGCCAACTGGGTACTTCCACCATTGCTGACAAGCAACATTTTCTTGACTGAATGTCTGTGTATAAAACACACAGCTTTTTTCCCCCAGCCAGAACTCCCCAGAAGTTTGGGGAGAGACCTGACCAGCCTCAGCAAAGCCCCACTGTGCCTCCAACTCATGATGTCCGGGATCCACTGAGGGTCTCCTCATCTACAGAGGCACAGGTGAACCTGCACTTTGCTGGAGCTCTTCAACATCCTAGCTAACAGCCGACACACAGGAAAGCCGCACCTCAGCTGAGCAAGCCCCCCAACACTGCTCCAGCTCACCTAAGCCAGAGAGGGAGGGGGGAGCTTGTTAAGCTGCTCAGCTGAGGCACAGAAGCTTCAGCTGAGCAGCCTCAACGATAGGTCTGGTTGCCATATCAATACATTGCCCAGGAATGGTATGAAGGCCAGAGCACGATGGTGCCATCACCCAGCGGTATATTGCATGTGAAACTGCTGCCACTCCTCAGTCCCAATGCCCAGTGGAGCCATGGGGGTTTGCAATATACCACTGGGTGAAGCTGCCCCTCTGTGCCTCAGCAGCCTTCACATGAGGCGGGAGGGGGCAGGCAGGTTGCCTCTCTGCCAGTAGGAAGAGGCAACCTGCCCACCCATGTAAAGGTAGCCTCGCGAACAGAGCTTGCCAGGCTCTGTTCACAGAGCTACCTCAGCCCCAACCTTCACATGGGTGGGCTGCCTCTCCCTCCAGGGAAAAAGAGGTGGCCTGCCCACTCCCCTGCCTGGGTGGTGGCAGCTGAGGCAGCACCACACACAAGAACCTGTCAGAGGTTGCCTCTGGCTTGCGAGGAGAACACACACCCTGAAGATGGGCTCTAGGGTGGGACTCCTGGGGGAGGTGTGTTCCAGCACCTATTGGTTCAGGGGGAAAAACACTGTATACTATAGCAAAGACACTGAAATGATGTTAGGGTGGGGGGAGCAGATGATAACAGAAGTACTTGCATTTATGATTGCTAGAAAATACCATTCACATCTCATACCCGTGTAGCATCAGGCTGCTAAGCTGTTTGGAAACGTGCTCAACCATAATCTCTTTTGTCGTTAACCACCATATTTCCTGATGTTAAAAATGGAAAACACAATCCAAACTGCCACCTCCTGCCATGGGGCTTTGCAAAGAGGCAGAGCCTCCACAATCACAGCTTTCCTGATCGTAGCAGCTGCTGGGACCGTTGCAGTCACACAATGGCAATGAGTTCAGGCGCCAGCAGATCCCAGGTCAGCACAAGGCCACCACTCTCCCTGGGAATGCACTGTTTGGTGGCTTTCCTCTGGCTCCAGCCAGCAGACCTGCCAACCAGCCATATACTGGGGTGGAAGGGGGAGCCTGGCTGAGCCAAGGGGAAGGACACAACACCTAATCCAATTGCTCAACCCCCAGCCCAGTGTCAAGTGGTCTGCCTCGTTTTCCTTAAGTGAAACATAAAAGTTTCAAAGAAAATGGTAAGGAACATTTTATGCTAATAGCAGCTTTGTCATGCTGACAAAGTTTGCCACATGTAGCAAACATGTTACTTTCATAAACATTTTTCAAATTTTCTCTCCATCAAGTTGAGCCTCAAACCCTGACCTTAGAAAAATTAATGTAGAAGCTGTCATCATTTACCTTTGAAAAGCACTCAGGACTGCAGCCTCTGAAGAGCTGGTGTTTTAAGCAGCAGTCAATGCTCTGGAATAAATGTGGGCTTGCCCTATTGATTCTGTTTCGTAATAAATGAAAACTGTGATACTTCAAAACGTATACCCATATAACGATTTATAAAAACTATATTTGTTCCATAGCCTTCAAATAAAATTCTCACTAAAACCATCAGTGTCTCCTTTTGCTTCTTGTTCTTACTAATAAAATGTTTACATCAAATGCACTCACACCCCAAAGAGCTGATACCTCCTCTCAGCAGCCAGGAGCGTCAGAGCTAGACACTGGAGGACCTGTCAGGAGTGAACATGGACCACTGGTACCCAACTGTATGGGAAACAGCCCTACTAGAAAAGCTAACCTAACCAACAGACCGAAACTGACATGGGGACAAATAAAAGAGGATGCTTTCTCCCCGGTGTGGCTCCCCTTTATTACACAACAAGACAACAAGAACCACCCACCGACAGCATATGAATCAATATGGTTAACTTGACCCAACAACCCCTCTCTTTCACACACACAAACAAAAGCCACTGCAGCCAACTAACGGAACCCAACCAAAACTACTGTATTTACTGGGATGTAATGCACACCTTTTTTGGCCAAATTACGTCGTGACAATTAGGGTATGTATTAGATTTGATGGCGCCAGCAAATACTTTTTTGGTTTCAAAGTTTTGAAAATGGAGGTGCACATTTGATTTGATGGTGTATTAGATTCACATAAATATGGTAATCAATTAAAGAGACCCTACCCATGTGACGCTGACACAAAAATCTCGCACATACACTATGTAAAAGAATGAAAGTTTACTTTCCCCTTCTCTCCCTCTGCTCTCTCACTCCACCCTTCTTCTCCCCCAACCTTACACTGTATACAACATTAAAGTCTCACATTGAATATAACTAATCTGTAAAAAGGACAATATATGTACTTCTATAAGGGAAACATACCTAAACACGAACACCAGCAACTTGCAAGTACTTTCCCACACAATTTTCTCTCACAAGTCAGATGTAGAATTGGCATGCCAGTGTTTGAATCCACAAGATGATGGGGGGGGGGGTTTTACACAATTTGAAACTCACTAGAAGAGTACATCTTCTAGTTCTAAAACTGTGAAAAATGACTGTCTTCCATATGGAGAATTAACTTAGAATTTCCCATGAACCTACTGTTTTTCAGTTTCTGCAGGACATCATCTGTTTACACACTAGTGAACATCTCACTGTGAAACAACTTTGCAATCCTTGCTTGCTCTCAACTTGCAAAATGGTGATTTAACCCAGAAGTAGCATTTCACTGATTGCCATGTCAAGGGCCTTAAAACAGTGCAAGACCTTTGCTATCTATGCAAGGTCTTTGACTGCATTCTCTTTGCCTCCCCAGGAAACCAAACCAAACACCAAATCATTATTACAGTACCATGATTAAGATTCTGTGTTTATGTACTGCCCTTCCTTCCCAAAGCTTCCAAAGTGCTACCAAATACAACTAGAAAAGAAAATCAGAAGCAAAATACAACAAGCACAATGTCTTTGGTTGATAGATACCAAGGCAAATTTGTGTCCCAAAAGCAAAGCAACCAATATGCCTCCACCAACCACACTTCCTTAGGGAAGGAATTCCATCACCAAGAAAGCCCTGTCTTAGGTCACCATAATCATGGGCCACCATATTCTCACATTGGCAGGATCAAAAGCAGGACCTCCCTTGCTGATTTCAGAGCACAGGTTGGTAGGTATTCAGATACAGTTACTACTACTACATTAAATATTAGTAGCTGTACTCATGCAACTCTGATAACTGCTTGCCCAGAATTTCAAAGGAAAATTCTTCACATAGCCCTCAGTATTCCAATACCACCCACCAGTTAACCTACCAGACTTTATTCTAAGCCCATAAGAAAACACAGAGAATAAAAGGCATGAACAGGTCAGGTCACTGCTGTGAAACACAGGCATAAGAGGAAACAAAAAAGAGAAATCTGCTCCATTTGTACAAACACAAACTCTACTTGAGACACAAGAGCATGAATGCAGGGCTACATAATACACATGACTGGTTCCCCTTTGCAGATTGCTCAAG